TACTGGATTTATTCTTATTTCACTTTGTTATCGCTTTGTGGGCTGCGTTTGATAAGGTCCATAGTTAGGTAGTGGCAGTGGTGGCTGTAGTGTGACAGGCAGCAATAATAGGAGAAAAGTAATTTTGGGCTTCCTTCCTGTGAATTATATTGCTGACAAATCAGCCATTTGATTGCAGATTAGAATTCTGGTCAGTCCTTGGCTGTTCCTTAGCTTCTTTGTCTTTATGTTTTAATTTTGTTCACTCTTCATCTTTGTTTCTTCTTATCACTCATTAGTAGCTACTGTTCAGTGGCTTGTTGGGTAGATTATTTTTCACCCTTCTCCACACAATCCTGCTCAATGTCCTGTGCATTTTTGAACTTTTTCTACTCCCTTTTTCAAAAATTCAGCAGCAGTATACTGAATTCTAAAGGGAGGTAAGGGAATTAACCCTCGTTTCTTTTTTATGCTCACCATTCAATTCTATTGAACCTCTTTAGGTGCAGCCTTGTTTGTCCTCTTAGTCTTGTAGCAGTTATCTCCAGATTATGCCACCTGCCCATTTGTGGGCTCTTGTAAGTATTGCATTGGGAGTGGAGAAGAGATTTGGCTCATTGTGATTGGTAGTGCTGCTTGTTCTTCTAGTGTTCTAAGAGTATTTAGAGGACTTGCTGAGAGCTGGGTTGACTTTTTTTTCCTGCTGGATTTATATTTATTGATTAGTGATAGGGATGCTAGATGGCATTTAGTCCAGCTCCTCCATTAACTGTGCTCTTTGCTATCTCTTCTTTTGTTATTATGCCACCCAAGAAACATTTTGTTTCCTGCATCTTTCCTAAATGTATTATTTATTTTGAACTGTACTCATTTCTTTCCAAAGGGTGGGAGGGAGGCTGAGAAGTTGGTTTTGAAAAATATCAGTGGTGTTTTCTAGCATCTATTGTAACATCCTCTGTCTATTTCATTGGATGACCTTGGACCAGCTCCTCCATCTGAGAGCATGACTTACCTCAAAGGGTTATTGTGAGGTTCAAGTATAGACTGATAGACTCATAGAATCATAGAGTTGGAAGAGACCACAAGGGCCATCCAGTCCAACCCCCTGCCATGCAGGAACTCCCAATCAAAGCATCCCTGACAGATGGCCATCCAGCCTCTGCTTAAAGACCTCCAAGGAAGGAGACTCCACTACTCTCAGAGGGAGTGTGTTCCACTGTCGAACAGCCCTTACTGTCAGGAAGTTCCTCCTCATGTTGAGGTGGAATCTCTTTTCTTGCAGCTTGCATCCATTGTTTTAGGTCCTAGTCTCTGGAGTAGCAGAAAACAAGCTTGTTCCCTCCTCAATATGACATCCCTTCAAATATTTAAACATGGCTATCATATCACCTCTTAACTTTCTCTTTTACAGGCTAAACATTCCCAGCTCCCTAAGTCGTTCCTCATATTGAAGTCGTTCCTCCTCGTATTGAAGCAAACAACCTTGTATACTGCCTTGAGCTTGTTGGAGGAAAAGTGGAATATGAATGAAACTATAACATTAAACAAAATATGCCTTGATAGCAACACTACTGTTCTTTGTATTTTGTAAATTAATTTTGTACTTTATATCTCAGTTTAACTGCGGTATCAGAACAACTAAAGTTTGTAAAAGATTTCAGAGCTTTTGACAGTATTTATCTTCTGTCATCTCCGTGAGACATCTGTCCCGATAAAGATTTTCAAAAAGGTTCTGTTAAACCTAAACTTGCAGAATACTATGTTCAGCATTTGATAATACTTAAAGCTCTCACTTACTTAAAACATCACTTTAGAACATTCTGAAAATCTATCATTCTAGTTAGGTTTTATTTCTTTTGAAATACTCTGATCCATTTGCCTACAAATGAAACCGTTTTTAAATCTTTTAATTAAAATGAAATTTAGATGGGAAAATATGCTATCATAGAAAGCATCATGAAATGTAATTATAAAAATTCAGAACTGTATTCACAGAACTGGATAAATTGTGTTTTGGGAGCAGTATTGTCCCCATGTGTGCTTGTTTCCCACCCTCTCAACCTGTAAACAAATAAATTTATTACAAAAGACACCACAGGTCTCTCTTTAGTAGGAAACAGATCCTATAAGACTGCCTTGCCCATTTGTACATTTTGGGTACATAGGAGTGCAGACTGCATTCTACAATCAAACCAAATTAGGATGTTTAGTCTGTAGTAAGCAAATGGGATTTCACCAATGCAGGCTCAGAGGCACTGATAATTTGTAACTAGCAGTTTCAACCAGTACATGTCCTCTTCTCTTGTGAAAAGCAGAAGCATCTGAAGTACAATTACAAAGGACATTTTCTAGATAGTTGTTGTATGCCTCCAGTTTAGAGCTTATGGCAGCCCATGGGGTTTTCTTGGCAAGATTTGTTCCAAGGGGGTTTGCCAT